CACTCCGTTTTGCTGTGGAGAATATGGTGCCGTGTAGTGCCGGTTTAGACCGGTTTCTTCACAATACGTGGTGAATTGTTTAGACAGAAATTCACCACCACGATCTGTTCGAAAAGTCTTTAACTTTTCACCAGTTTCAGTTTCAACTGATATCCAGAACTTTTTGAAAACACTGAAAGCTTCATCCTTAGTCTTCATCATATATATCCACATTACTCGAGTAAAATCATCAACTAACAACATAAAATATCGGTTACCAGCAGGTATGGGTGGTGAAATAGGACCACAAAGGTCCCCATGTACTAGCTCAAGCCTCTATTTTGCCTTGAAGCTTGCTTGTGATGGGTATGATTTCCGTGTCTGCTTTCCCACTAGACATCCCTCACACAACCGTGTAGGGTTATCTATCTTTGGTAGTCCACAAACTAAGTTCGTGTCTGACATTTGTTTGAGGGCAGTAAAGTTAACATGACCCATTCGTGCATGCCACAACCAAGTTTGTTCACAAGTTTCTCCAAGCAGACATCTAGACCCAACTTCATTCAAAATGATTTTATAAAGACGATTTGGAGATTGTTTTACCTTCATGAGTAGTCTCCCTTTTACATCATGAACCCACATAAATGATCCATGTATCAAGATCCGGTCACCATTCTCTGCTAGTTGACCCAAACTTATGATATTATTACACAAGCTTGGGATATAGTACACATCTTGCAGTTTTCGTTGCTCTCCATTCTTGCATTGGAATATGATAGAACCTTTCCCTTCTATACGCACCTTGGACCCATCTCCAAATTTTACATAACCCTGAGTTGTTTGGTTAAGATCATAAAACTTATCTTTCTGACCGGTCATGTGGTTACTTGCTCCATTGTCTAGATACCACACATTTGACTGAGTTGTTTCATCACTTGCTAACTTCAGTTTTGGTGTCACTTTTTCTTCATTCAGGAACACCTCCTCTATTGCTTCATTATTGTCAAAAGAAGCCAATAATAATGCCGGTTCAGCATGATCTTGGGTCAGATTTGCTTCATGGTTCCTTTCACGTCTTGGGTTTCTACACTCTGAGGCATAATGCCCAAATTCTTGACAGCTATAACATTGGAGTTTTCTCTTGTCGTGACTGTTAGATGGCCCACGATTTCCTTCTCGTTGTTGGTCAGCTACGCCTCTTCCATGGCCCCTTCCACGACCTCTTCCATGGCCTCTACCACGGTTGCTTTAGTTATTCCATCTACCACGACTTCTTCCACGACCTCGTTGATTGCTTGGACTGTTATGGTAGGATCTGTGAGAGGATTTTGAGTCCTCTTCACTTTGCTTCTTGTTTCTTTCAGACCACTCTTGGTGAGTCAATAGAAGCTTCTTTTCTTCAACTTCACTGTGCCCTCGGATTCTCTCATCGTGAGCTTTCAACCTACCAACAACTTCTTCAACATTCATCTTATCAAGATCCGCAAATTGCTCAATGGTTGATGCAATCTGCAAAAAATTTGATGGAACTGGCCGTAGTAGCTTCTTCACTACATAAGCTTCCTCAACTTTGTCTCCTAAGGCCCGAACATTGCTTACAATATTGTTTATCTTCAAAGCAAACTCGTCCACTGTCTCCATCTCCTTCATACTTAGAACTTCAAATTCTGCTTTTAACGTCTGCACCCTTGCTGTCTTTACTCTATCAGCCCCCATGTACATATCTTTTAGAGTTTCCCATGCTTCCATTGCTGTTTGTTTCTTAGCCAATGACAACAACATGTCTTCTAGAATTCCTTGATAGATGGATGCAAGTGCCATCTTATCTTTTCTAACTTCAACTACATCTTCCGGTTTACTGGGCTCTACAGCTTCCCAAACACCTTGTGCTTGCATGAACACTTTCATTTTAATGGCCCATGCAGCATAATTGTTTCTTGACAGCATAGGATAGTGCAGTGTAATCTGCCCATCTTTCTCGTTCCTTGACGAATCTCCCATGGATGCAGATCGGGGTTGATATTTTGGCATAAACTTGGAGCGCTCTGATACCAAATGTTGGTTTATAGCCTCTCAATCACTTGTATTTTTTTTTTTGCAGAAAAATAGAGAAGGAAGATGAAGTATTTTTCGTGTGTATGTAGTGAATGGAGAGAGAACAAATTTCCAAAAGTTGTGACTAAGTTACAGTCACACGTTTTCATTCATAGCTTTTTATAAACAAAAAAACAAAGCATTTAAGCTAGACAACTACTTAACTACTACTTGGTTTTTTCAACTACAATATTAAAGAAACATAAATGATAAAGATGGCTTGATAGTCAAACTAGAGTTGGTGTTAATAATAAACAAATGGACAGACAAGGAGCACGCCTGCCTGCTGTGCCATCTGCTTCTTCTCCTTTTTTTATAATAAATATTATGGATTATAATAATACCATAGAGGTGTCTATGGATTGACCCTTTGATTCAAATCCACGGATTTTAGACCTTTCAACAAAGAAATACTCCTGGGAAGATGACTTATGCATGTACCTTTTACATCTAACAGTTCTAAAGCTTCTAAATCTCCCAGTTTCTCGGGTAATTCCTTAAGTTGATTACATCCTTCAAGTAAAAGCTGTTTGAGATGCTTCAACTTACATATGTTGTCTGGAATTTCTCTCACCTTGCTAAATGATAGATATAATCTCTCCAAACATTCTAATCGCCCAAGATCCTCAGGTATGTTTTGAATGAAGTCACAATGTTGAAGATGGAGAATTTTTAGATGTTTCAACATACAAAAGCTTTCTGGTAGATGTTTAATAAGTGTATATGATAAATTTAACCAATATAAACATTCTAAATGACCAAGGTTCTCGGGAAGTTCCTCTATGGCACACTCCTTGAGGTTTAGATGCCTTAAATGTTGTAAAATACAAATGCTTTCTGGAAGACTCTTCAGATCTCTGCAAGAACTGAGATCTAGAGAAACAAGATAATGAAGATTTCCAATTGATGAGGGTAGTTCTTCAATATTGTTCTTTGAAAGATCTAGGGAAACAAGACAATGAAGATTTCCAATTGACGAGGGTAGTTCTTCAATATTGTTCTTTGAAAACTTAAGCTCTCGTAGGTCTACAATTAGATCCGGGAACTCCCACAAAGATAATTCATTTAGATCAAGAACCTCAACTGATTCTAACCGCTTGATAAATTAGAGAGATCTCAATCTCGTACAGAAATCTAGATTCAAGTACACTAGATTTTTCCCACATCCAGTGGACACGTGAACTTCTACCAAATCATCACATGCTTCAAGTATTAACCTCTCAAGATTCGGAGCCATCCCAAGGTCAAGGGTCCTCAACTTTGTAAAACCTAGGTCAAGGATTCTAAGCTTGTTGAGAACCTGTTGCAAGCAAACAAAAAAATGAATATTGGTTTGGTTTGAAGGGATAATCAGTCTCCACAACTTAACAATGTCGCTTAAACAATGGTGTAATTTATGAGTAGATTAGAGTATATGTGTGTTGCCGTTCTAGAAAAAACTAGGTAAAATGCACAACATTATTATGGAAAAGAACATATAAATCATTATTTTTACCTTTTGTTCTCCTTTCCAAAGTTTTACGATTCCGATTAAACTCATGTCAAGCACAACAAGATTATTTGCTTGAAACGTTTTTGGTAAATAATTATAAGGGTAAGCTCTCCAACAAAGATATCGTAAAGCTTTTGGAAAGTAGTGGCTAACTTGATCAAATTTCCAACCACCAGTAATCCAACTATATTCAGAACCATAACACATGTCATCGACATGCAGGTGAAGAGCCTTAAGTTCCTTTATTTTTCCCAGACCTCTCATAATAATTTCAGGAGGAAGTTCCTCTGATATTATTATAGATTTTGTTGCTTCAGTGCCCTACGATCCAAAAACATTAACCATCAAACTTATGTTATATGTAATGAAAATGATTTAGGTTGTGTTTGATACGCTATTTGAAAAGCTAGTTTATAAGCTACTTTAGTGGTCTCACAAAACGCTAAATTGCAACAAGCTTAGCTTATGCATGCCAAACACAACCTTATATAATTTTCTATAGCACAAGTATCATGATCCTTACCAAGTCATTAGCCAATACATCTTCAATTTCCTCATGAATAAACAACCGGCTATGTCTTCTTGGATCATCAAGGTGCAATCGACGAACAATATTCCTTCCCATTTCTTGTAGATGATCATGCATGTGCAAGAACATACTTGAACTAGTTATGAGAGATTTTTCCTCAAGAACTCTTAAACCAATTCTAGCATGAAATCCACAGCTTTCAAGTATTCTCATTGCATCCTCCTTGAACACATCTTTTAGTCCACATGCAACATCAAGGAATATTTCCTTGTAGTCATCCTCTAGTGCGATATAGCTTAACTTTAATTTTTCCAAAGTTTCCTTAAGTGGAATTCTTTTGAGTCTTTTTAGTGCATCCCTCCATTCAAGCTCATCTTTCCCACAGAGAAAAGAACCCAAAACTTTGATCGTTAAGGGAAGACCAGCAGCATAACGTACAACTGCAAGTGATAGCTTTTCATACCCTTTAAATAGAAGTACTGTACCAAATGCATATCTATTGAAAATAATAATGGCTTCTGCATTAGTTAATAGATTGACATTATGAATCAGATCTACTCCATGTGCCTTCAACAACTACTCATCTCTTGTTGTAATAATAATTTGACTTCCAAGCTTAAAGCAATTAGTCGCCCCAGCTAATGCCTCAAGCTGACTTATATGATCTATATCATCTAGACCAGAAGAACTTTTTTATGGCACAACCTCTCACTTAACATTTTTCTCCCATCATGCACACTATTTACAGTGTAGCCTTGATAATGTAATATGTCTGAAATGATTTGTTTTTGCAAAGACTGCAAACCATGCAATTTAGAAACTTCCCTAACGTTCTCAACAAAGCTTATACCATCAAATTGAGTTGATACTTTATCAAAAATAGATCTAGCAAGAGTTGTCTTACCACTACCTCCCATTCCCTTGATCCCTATCATTCGAACAACATTCAAATTATCGATTTGTAAAGACGACTCTACATCCTGCACTCGATGATGCATGCCTATTAAATTTTCATCGTCACTGAAATGAATGGAACGTAATTTCAGCAAAATCTGTTCAACAATAATTTTGATGACTTTAGCTTCATACTTGTAGATTAGAGAATATTCAGTTAGCTTGTTGAGGAAGATCCTACATGAAAAATTAGTTTTGGATCTATGATCTATCACATACTCACTTAAATTGAACACTAACATACACATACATTATTTTTCATCTATCGTCAGGACTTTGAATTAGGATTTGATAACACAACATGAGATGCTAGTGATAACCCTTATACTGTTATACATCCTAGTCTACACGTTGGTTTGAAAGAAACAAAATGAAAGAATATTACAAACATGAGGAAGCAATTACCCATTAGCAGTGTCCTTCAATTCCCACCCAGCTAGATTGGCTGCTTCATTGAGAGCCTCTCTCCATTTCACAGTAGCCTCTTCCATTTTATGTATGGATAAGGCTTCTGCAAATGCTCCATTTGGTTTTCGGACTTCAGAAGGTTCCACATCATAGAACACAGGGTAAGCAGACTGCTGATCATTCGATTTTTGGCACTCCATAATCTTGACAAGCTCCCTTAAGCACCAAGATGAAGATGCATAGTTCAGTGAGAAAATAATAATAAAGATTTTTGAGTCTTCAATGGACTTCAAGAGCTCTTCATCGATCTTTTTTCCTTTCTGGAGTCTTTCATCATCCTTGTAGGCGTGAATTCCGCTCCACTCAAGAGCAGCATATAGATGATCAACAAAGGTCTTACGGGTGTCTTCACCTCTGAAGCTCAAAAAGACATCATATTGATAGCTCTTGTGGATGGATAAAGTTGAAGAAGAAGCCATTGAAGGTATGTTTGACATCCAGTGAAATCAACTCTTTGTTGGGGGAAGTTTTTACTAAATGACAGAAAAGAGAGTAGACATGAGATGAAAAATTCTCATACTAATATAATGCTTAAAATGTTAACCACACATTTAGATCTTGACTCTTACAAGAGGCATCATGTGCAAAAATGTCATACAATTGATGCATATTAAATTATTAATTAAGCATTTCTATAAAGTCAAACATACAATGTCATCACTAGACACACTTATTTTTTTTATGAATCACGAACATTTAATTATACAAAACTAGACGAATTCTCGCGCGTTGCGCGACGAAGATTAAAAATATATTGTTAAAATATTGAAAAATATATGTTTAAAATGGTTATGTTATTGACATTAACTTTGAGATAATATTTTTACACTAATTTATATATATATAATCTCAATTATTTTGAACAATAATATTCATTGACATCAACCCACATTCCTCATTAATAGAATTAAATATAATTATCTATTAAGTATTATTTTTAACAATTATTATTATTGATTAATTATATTTTTAATTGTTATTCATTAATTTTAAACAACTTATTATTAATAATAAGTTAAAGAAGACTTTTAAGAAACACTTAATATTATTATTAAAATGTGAAACATACACTAAATAACAAAATGATAAGATAGACAATTTGCATTTAAAAAGAGACTTGCATGGATAATATGACATATCCATGTAATTTGATTTTATTATTTATAATTATTGCTTATTAATTTTAAAACTACTTATTATTATTAATAAGTGAAAGAAACTTTTAAAAAGCACTTATTATTATAATTAAAATGTTAAACATATACTAAAATATAAAGTGATAAGATAGACAATTTGCTCTTTAAAAAAGGCTTACATGGATAATATGGATAATATGACATATCCATGATTTTTAATTAATTATTGTTTTGAAGCAACATGAACATACAAACATGTATATAATAGTTAATTAAATATTATATATATCACCTTCAATAACATATGATCGATAACATGAATCTAATCTAATTTACATTAAAATTTCAACCACAACATACAATGATATTCTTAAAAGAATACTTAAATCAAGAAAATACAAAAAATAATTAGTATATAACAAACTTACAAATTAAAAACTTCAACATAATAACATGACTCGAAAAATTGTTCAAAGCCCTCAAACCAACACAAAAAACTTTAAACTTGTTTTCTTTGTGAATTTTGTATGTGATTTGTATTTGTGTGTCTACTCAAAAAAGATTGACATTTTTATAGTAGAGTATGCATTAATTGTTTATTAAATATATTATATAAGTTATAAAATCTTTGAATTGTTAATCATTATTAAGAGACTTTTGAGTGGTATTCATTAAAATAGGAGGTTTCAAATACATGCGGTGTTTGTAAATTTTTATGGGGGTTTCAAATGCATGAGGTTCAATGAAAAATGCTAGCTTTATAAGTATGTATGATAAGTGCACCGAGTTTCTTAACTCACATTAAAGCAATTCATAGACTTAATTGCATTTTAAAAAAATTGTTATTTTTCTTAAGTTTTTTTTAAAGAAATATTAAGGGTGCGTTTGATTATAGAAAACCGTTTTCAGTTAATAGAGTTAGTTTTCATTTTTAATTTTCAATGAAAATTATAGAAAATGCTTTTAATTGGAACGGAGAACATTTTCCATCTTAGAAATTTAAAAAACTTTGAAAAACTATAAAAATCACTTTTCTAATTTAAATGCAATTTGAAAAATAGAAAATTTTCATTTTTCTTAGAAATTTTTTGAAAACCGAATCACAACCAAATGCGTTTTCAAAATTTTCATTTCATTTGAAGATTTTCATGGAAAGCCATAAAATTTTCTGCAACCAAACACACTCTAAGGATTTTCCATCCATATGAGCATACAAAGTGGTCACAGGAAAGGAGCGGGTGAGGATCAGGATGCAATGGTATCGACGGGTTATCTGACAAGGCTAAAAAGACGGGTTCACAATATAAAACCATATAAATACCATTTCAACCTTCTCATTTTTCACATCATTTTTCCGGTTTCGTCTCAATTTCAAGTTGCGACAAGGCTAAAAAGACGGGTTCAAACTGAAGCAAGAGTAAAGCTATGCTACGGGTTCACAAGTTCCACCACCATTTGATTTATTCAAACATAATATAACTCAATGTTTATGTCACCACAGTTTCAATATCAAAACCATTACCCCCACAATTAATTTTGGCATAGTCTGTCACAATTTGCTAACAATGATATCCGATACACATATTTGATGCATGAGTCAATCAAACAATTGTAAAAACCGATTAGTATACGAGGGTCCTACTCAGAAATCTACAACTTGCGGGACACAACAATCTAGGAGATATTTTTATCTCTCTCAAGGTGTCCAAGAACGCCGAATACGAGACATCAACGGTAATAATTCAATATGTTTGGCAAACCTTAAGCTATAGTGGCTAGATTTGTGTGTGTGTGTGTTTTTTTTTCTAACAAATTATAAGAAGAACATCAACAAATTGATTATGAAAATTTAGGATAATGACTTAGGAGGGTAACAAACATATTTTTGTTCACATTTAGTCACTTTTTTGTACTTGAAAAACACGATCCTAAGGTTTTTCGAATTTGAAAAAAACGTCTGCAAAAGACCGAGTTCTAGAATCGATTTCATGTTCGTGTTATTGGAATTGGTTTATGCTCAGACCCTTTAGATTTCAAGGGTTTTTGATTTCTATTCAAGATCTTTGATTTCAGATCAAACCCTTCGACTTTAGCCTTTTGATTTCAAGGGTTTTCTTGTTTTTAGATATGCTCTTGTCTTGTTTTTTTTTTTTTTTTGAGTTCATCAAATTTCTAGCTTTTGAGTTTGAGTTCATCAATATATGTTCTTGAACATATGAAGATGAACAAACACACATGTCTAAGCCTTTGAAACAACCAGATCTTCATTTACATTTTGCTGGAGACTCATTGGAAAACTAATAGAGTTGTCGGATATAACAAAGTCGTCGGAAACTTCCAATAGCTGGTTATAATGGTATTTTTTTAAACACATAAATCAGTTCAATGATAAATGATTAAAAAAAACGATAATTATTACCCTCATAAGTCGTTTTACCATTAAAATTTTAAACATGAGGGGCCTATTTGTTATAAAAGTGAAGTTAGCATAAAACATAGAGGGCCAAATGGTTGTGTACTGTGGTAACTTTCATCACGGACAACAAATTTCAATGCTCAGATACACTCTCCATGCGACTGCGGCAGCTCGCGTATGTTCTCTCTTCCACCATCGACTCTCAATTCACCAATCGAAGCAGCTCCGGGACGTATCCGACTTGACCCAATCCCAATTAGTCGACCGCATTTGCCGTCTCCTCGTACTCCGCCGCTTCACCGCCATATCCACCCTTTCTTTCGACTTCTCCGACGACCTTTTAAACCAAGTCTTAACCAAACTAAAATTAAACCCAAACGCGTGTTTACATTTTTTTAAACTAGCTTCGAAGCAACAGAAATTTAGACCACATGTTAAGTCATACTGTAGATTAGTTCACATTCTGTCGAGGGCGCGTATGTTCGATGAAACGAGAGCGCATTTGAGGGTACTAGTTGGGTTCTGTGAGGAAGATAGTCGTTTGGGTTTGTATATTTGGCATCAGTTAGTTAGGTTTTATCGGGAATTTGGATTTTCTCCTACGGTGTTCGACATCATCTTGAAGCTGTACGCTGAAAAAGGGTTGACAAAGAATGCACTCTACGTGTTCGATGAAATGTGTAGGTTGGGAAGAGTGCCTAGTTTGCATTCTTGTAATGGTTTACTGAGTGGTTTAGTCCGGAAGGAAGAGTTTCATTCCGTTTTTGTAGTCTATGATCAGATGAACACGATTGGACTTGTGCCTGATGTATGCACTTGTAGTATTATGGTGAACGCATACTGTAAAGATGAGAAAGTGGGAAGAGCTGTAGAGTTCATGAGAGAGATTGAGGAGGACATTGGTGTGGAGCCTAACATAGTAACATACAATAGTTTGATCAACGGGTATGTTTCTATGGGTGATCTCAGAAGTGCAAAAGGAGTTTTGAGATTGATGAATGATAGACATGTGTTCAAGAATGTGGTTACATATACCCTGATCATTAAGGGATACTGCAAACAAGGGAAAATGGAAGAAGCTGAAAAGTTTCTTAAAGAAATGAAAGAGGAGAATCCATCATTCATCTTAGATGAACAAGCTTATTGTGTTTTGATAGATGGGTTTTGTCAAATAGGAAAGATGAATCATGCTGTTCGAATTCAAAGTGAGATGTTAAAAGCAGGATTGAAGTTAAACTTGTTTATTTGCAATTCGATGATCAATGGATACTGTAAACTAGGCCAGGTCAATGAAGCTGCAAAAATGGTAAAAAGTATGAGTAAATTAAAACTGAAGCCAGATTCTTACTGTTATAATACTTTGATAGATGGATATTGTAGGGAAGGTTTTATATCCAAGGCTTTTGATCTCTGTGAAAAGATGGTTCATGATGGCATAGATGTAAATATTGTAACTTATAATACCCTTTTGAAATCTTTTTGCCAAGATAACAACATCAACAAGGCTTTACAACTTTGGCATCTCATGATAAAACGAGGTTTGACACCTAATGAAGTTGGATATGGTACTCTACTTCATTGTCTCTTTAAAGTTGGAGACTTTAAAGGAGCTTTCATGTTATGGAAACAGTTTTTAGCTAAAGGGTTTATTAAACCTGTAATTGGGTTTAATATAATGCTTAATGGACTATGCAAAATGGGTAAAATGGATGAAGCAGAAAAAGTTTTTGATAAGATGAAAGAACTCGGTTGTCCACCAGACAAAATTACCTATAATACCCTTGTTGATGGGTATTGTAAAGTTGGAAACATGGAAAGGGCTCTTGAAATTAAGGACATTATAGATACAAAAAATTTCTCTTTGTCTATTGAAATGTATAACTCTCTTATTACTGGATATTTTAGATGTGGGAAAATGAAGATGAAGAAAGTCACAGATTTACTCGGTGAGATGCATAACAGGGGAATAATCCCCAACATTGTAACATATGGAGCCCTAATTTCTGGTTGGTGTAAAGAAGGGAAGCTGGATAAAGCATTCACTACATATTCTGAAATGAAAGAAAAGGGTTTTACTCCTAATGTTATCATATGTAGCACAATGGTGAGTTCACTTTATAGAAATGGCATGATTGATGAAGCAAACATGTTACTTCACAAGATAATGGATTTTGATCTTTTACCAAAGGACAAAAGTCTTGAGAAATTCTTCGAGTGGGATATGAAAAAGGTAAATCTCCAAAAAGTTTTTAACATAATTGATGAAGTTGTGGAATCCACTTTTCTTCCAAACAATGTTGTGTACAATGTAGCAATTTCAGGGTTATGTAAAGTTGGAAAAGTTGATGATGCAAAAAAATTCATTTCTGTGTTGTTGGAGAAAGGATTTGTTCCTGATAATTTCACTTATTGTACCCTAATTCATGCTTTATCGAGTAATGGTGAAGTTAATGAGGCTTTTAGTTTGCGTGATGAGATGTTGACAAAAGGTCTTGTTCCTGATATTGCTACATATAATGCTTTGATAAATGGGTTGTGTAAATCAGGGAATGTTGATAGAGCATTGAGACTCTTTTATAAACTTAGGTCAAAAGGGGTGGATCCAAATGTTATTACTTACAATATTTTGATGGATGGATGTGATAAGAATGGAAATAGTTGTGAGGTAGTGAAATTGAAAGAGAAAATGGTGAAAGAAGGTATTGCTACTTCAATTGTGACATATTTAAGTGAAGTGAGAGAAGTTGCTAGCTGAATGTATCTCATGAGTGAAGTATAAAGAGAAAAAAAAATGAATGGAAAGAGAATGTGTCTTGATTTGTACATAAAATCAGGAATTTGAATGCGAATAGTGAGAATCACATGAATGAGGTGGTGAATTTGTTGTGTTAAAAGGTAAAACGCTATTGTATTCACATGTAAATTTTTTTACATTAGCAATGTAATTTTAAATTGACCCCATTTAATTTGATCCATTTTTCTACAAGTTTTCACCCGATTTGGACTAATTTTCTACAAGGTTTTAAACTCTTTTGTACTGTGGATGTTTTGGTCATATTAACGTAATAAAAACAAGTTTGTAATCTCGTTTGTTGTTAAATAAATTTTGATTGTTTGACGATATCTTCATATTGATATTATGTTATTGTTAGTCTTCTCATTGCATCCACTTTTATAGAAATGGACAAATGGTGGACCTCAGGTATAACCAAAACTCAAAGTATATAAAATTTGATAAACTACTATAAAAAGAGGATTTAGCTATGAAATTTGATAATCTACATTTTATCTCAAGTACTACCATTAAAAGGTGTGAAATTTAAATTTTTGTGAAACGGTTGTTGTTTCACGAAATCTAAATTTTCAATGACTACTCTATTTTAACATGCTGTAACAATTTGGGTATTATGTCCACATTTACTTAAACAAATCTAATGTCACTAGAAAGTAGTTGAAAATGTTAACATGGATGCATCAGAAAACGTTTGGAAGATTGCAAAATGGTTCTCGTCTCGTGAAACATAAAATTTCAAAAAGTACTCTATTTTAACAATAATACATTAACAAGGATATAAATTATTTTGTCCATATATACTCGAGCTACAATGTTACTAGAAAATATGTGAAGACTGTTAAAATGGCCGTTTAACGAAACATTTTAAATTTTATGAAACGGTTCTTATTTGGCAAAACCTTAATTTTCAAAAACTACTTTAATCTAACATACGATAACAACAAAATATGCATATTTTGTTTACATTTTACTCAAAGAACTACGAGCATCACTACAAAATATATGAAAGACGTTAAAATGGCCACTTCATAGAGTGCTTTTGGATTCGTGATTCGCGAAGTTACTGTGGAATAGTGTTTTCAACATAGATTTATATAATTTATGGAGATTAGTTTGTTGCCGTTTACTAGCACGAATCGATCACTCAAACCTTCACGATATTTATTGAGACGAGAGGTTCGAACCATTTGTCTATTTTCATGAGTCACCAAGTAGTATTTGTGAAAGCGCGTGCTATTCTTTTAGAATATTTGAAAGATTGTTATTTTGTGATGTAGTCGATCTATTTTTGGTATTTTATTAAAAATAAAAAAAATCAAAAAAAAAAGTTAACAACTAAAATCATTTTTTTTATCGAGGAAACGTAAGTTTTCATTTGACTTGGTATTTTCTATATTTCACCATTAAGCATGTTCGTAACTTCCTATCATCGTATGACGATTGATGGACCGAGTACTCTTCCTTTTATGGTTCAAAAAAGAATTAGTCTTGTCGTTGTCTTTGAACAGGTGAACGTTTCTGCCATTGATTTCCTTATCTCTATCCTTGACTCCAATAAGAACCACCACTATAAATTCAACACCATGATCGATGAACAACAATTTTAGTATGATTAGAACAAGATGGACTACACAATCATCTTAATCTTACTATCCATTTTGTCATGGGTCTATATCTTCATCACCCAATCCAACCGTCGTCTCTCCACCAGACTGCCGCCGGGTCCATACCCACTTCCGATCATCGGAAGCATCCTTAAACTCGGAAACAAACCACACCACTCGCTTGCCACCCTCTCAAAAACATATGGACCATTGATGTCGCTAAAACTCGGTAGCACCACCATGATAGTTGTCTCCTCGCGTGAAATCGCTCAAGAATTCTTTTCAAAACATGACATTTGCTTCTCCAGCAGATCAATCCCATATGCTGCTCATGCACACGATCGCCATAAAATCTCCATGGTTTGGTTGCCAGTTGGAGATCAATGGCGTAGGCTACGAAAAATATCTAAAGAGCATTTGTTCTCCATAACCCAACTTGACGCTAGTCAGCACCTACGCAAGAAAAAGGTTCAAGAACTTGTTGACTATGTTAACAACTGCTGTCAGAATGGCAAAGCTGTAAATATAGGTCAAACTGCAGTTACCACAACTCTTAACGTTCTCTCTAACTTCATCTTCTCCATCGATTTAGCTGAGTATGATTCTGTCTCATCTCAAGATTTCAAGAACCTCGTAGGAGGTTTGATGGAAGTTGGTGGAACACCTAATCTAGCTGATTTCTTTCCTGTACTTCGTCCGTTGGATCCAAAAGGGTTGCTCCAATCAGCAAGTTTTTATACCGGGAAATTAATGGCAATCTTTGAACAACATATCAGTAAACGGTTGAAAGAAAGAAGAACAAGTTCATCTAATCATGGACCTTCGTCAAGTAAGGATCTTACGGATTTGCTTCTGGACATTAGCCAAAATGAGAAATCCTCAATTAGCATCGATGACATACGAAACTTGCTCTTTGTAAGTAAATCTTGTTCATGTTCAAGCTACAATAATTTTAAAATTAACGAAATGCATGTATTCATGAACGAATGGTTGGTGTACAGGATTTATTTCTTGCAGGAACTGACACGACATCAAGCACGTTGGAATGGGCAATGGCGGAGCTAATCCACAGCCCGGAGAAAATGTCAAAAGCTCGATCCGAATTGGAAGAAGTAATGGGAAAGGAAGGAAAAACCATTGAAGAATCAGACATCTCCAGACTTCCTTACTTACAAGCCGTCGTCAAAGAAACTCTCCGGCTACACCCTCCGGTGACCTTTCTAATCCCACATAGAGCCATAACCGACGTCGAGATCCAAGGCTACATCATCCCAAAAGACGCACAGATTTTGTGTAACTTGTGGGCTATGGGTCAAGACTCAAACGTATGGTCAGATGCACAAACTTTCCGGCCGGAGAGGTTTCTTGATGTCGGAATTGACTACAAAGGCCATGATTTTGAGCTCATACCATTTGGAGCAGGAAGAAGGATGTGTCCGGCATTGCTTCTTGCTCATAGGATGTTGCATATGATGTTGGGGGGTTTGATTTACAGGTTTGATTGGAGAATTGAAGGGATGAAACCAGAAGATATGGATATGACTGATAAGTTTGGGATTACGTTACAGAAAAACCTGCCTCTAATGGCCATACCGGTCAAAGTTTGACTTTAGTCTTAGGGTTAACCAATAAGAAAAGAACATTATAACAGAATGTTGAAGTTGAAATGTCTATTTAGTTATTTACTATGTAATGTTGTTGACGTGTAATATTTATAATACGCGTACTTTTACGGGATTTTATACAAAGTTGGTGGTCTTAATTTGGAGTTACGTGGACGATAGGGAATGAAGTAATAGTCAAAATGTTCTTTCTTTTTCTCGCTTTGGGTGTGGTCATAAATAAACATAATAATATAACAATATCCATATTGGAACGAGGTCGGTGAAGGAGCCCAAATATTAGAATGAACAATGGATATTGGATAGTAGTAGTGTTGTTCAAAGAAATGGGGCACATTTACTTTTAGAAATGAAGCCACAAGCATGACAAATATCTTTTGTTGTGTTTTTCTTTGGATGGGACGAATATCGAAAATCTAATCGGGCGAAGTTCCGAGCCAATGCCAAAGGAATATTGTTTAGTCCTCAAGAAGAGGTAGAATCAAGTCATATAGTCATATAGAGAATCTTTGGTTGCACGGAGTGAAACACAATATGAATAGAATGGATGGAGTAATATAATTGATAACGTAATTATTTCATTGTTATTTTTGTTTACCATAATGGATTAGAATAAATCATCAATCAATACGGTTTGGTAAATAGTAAGGTTGCAGAAAACGTTAGACGTTAGCTAGTCGGTGACTGGAGTCTAGGGATTAATCAATCGACTAGACGGGGATTAATCGGGGACCATTAATTATTAAGAAAATTATTCAAAAATATATAAATCTAACTTTAATCGTAAGAATATAAATAAATAAGCATAAAAGTTTAATAATAAGTTTAACAAGCACAACAATTTATCATCCAATTAATAAGAAAAGTTATTCAAATTTTAATATATCTTAAAAAAAGAAGTAAATTTGGGTATTTGTATATTTGAAAACATAGAAATTTTGAAAATTTTGGAGAAAAACTTTAAAATTTATTTTTTTAATTTTTTTTATATTAATTGAACATTGAAATACTATAAACTTTTGAAATTTTGAAAATTTTGGTTTAATATTTAAAATTTTGAAAATTTAAAAATTTGGCTGATTAGGCCGCTTAGGACCGATTAGAACCGTCTAGCTCTGACTTTGACCCCCTTTGACCAAAACCGATTAAGCCGACCGATTAACCTTAATCCTATTCGGTTGAAGACCGTCTAGCGATTAATCCCCGATTAATCGGCCGCCTAGACCGATTTTTACAAAACTGGTAAATAGAAAAAAAAAAACGTATCAATAAAAAAAATAAATTGTAATTAATGAATAAAATGTTGTAACAAAAAAATTGCATATAATTAAGGAATTTTTTTTGAATATATCCAACTTGTTTATTCTATATATATATATATATATATATATATATATATATATATATATATATATATTCAACTTGTGTATCAAATTTTCAATTTATATCCAACTTGTATATTTACCCAACTATATTCAGTGTTAAATATATTTAACTTGTGTATTCTTCATGTATATTCAATTTATGTATCAATTCTTCATTTATATTTGAATTGTGTATTAAACTATTAATGTTTATTCAACTTGTTTATCAAATTATTCATGTATATATAACTTGTGTATTCTTCATGTATATTCTACATTCTATTGTTGAAGAATATTGAATTTTATTTAAAAAACTAATCAAATCTGAATAATCAAATAATTTTCATAATTATACAATTATTGAAGATGGC